GCATGGACGGCTTCAAAAGGGAATTAGATAAGCATATGGAGCAGAGGTCCATCAGTGGCTATTAGCCACAAGGTATAGATAGGGGCTCTGGGGCAAGTGATGCTCTGTCTTCTTGGTGCTTGGGGGGGGTCAACAGTGGGAGGGCTTCTAATGTCCTGGCCCCACTGGTGGACCTCCTGATGGCACCTGGTATTTTTGGCCACTGTGTGACAGAGGGTTGGACTGGATGGGCCTTTGGCCTGATCCAACATTGGCGTCTCTTATGTTCTTATGTTTCCTATTCTTATCACTAATATCATGCATTCCTATCTTACTTTGTAAAAGCCCAACTTAACCTAGCCTAGCCCCACTCTACCTAAAAGTATCTAGCACAAACTTTCTTTCTTAACCTCCCTCCAGTATAGGTATCTCCCCATAACACATCCAATCAGAACACTTCACTCCCAGCTCTCTCTCTCATTGGTTCTTTCTCTCCTTCTGTCAGTGAAAGGCACTCCTCTCCATAAACTCCGCCCCCCAGGCAATACCCTTTACCATTTAAATCACCTGTCAAGAACTAGGTACACAATTACAACCTTTACAATACTATCTACCTATCTCATAGGCATTACATCACACCCAGCCCCAACACATGAGCCTTGACACCTACCAGAAATGTCTGGCTTTTCTGGTCCTCCAACATTTTCTCTTCCTTAAGCTTTTCTCTCTCTCGCTCCAAAAATTGAAGCTGGGCCTGGATCTCTTTCTGCAGAAACAATAAAGGCCATTGCTTTTGGGGAGGTTAGTCCCTATGACACCCGTCATGAAAGCCTGCATAAAGCTCTATCTGATCTGAAAATGAACAGATGAGAGAGGTTTGGCTTTCTGGGCTTCATGCAATTTGGGGGCAGAGCCACGAGATACATTTAGAAAGCTATCATCTATATCTTGTCTCTAAACTTAGGTCAATCTACTTGTCAATAACAAAAAATAGAAACTGGACAACAGAAAACAGGAGAGGGTTCCTAGACATACCATGGCAGAAAAAGAGAGGGAAGGGTTCTAAATGCACAGACCAATGGATGCCCAGGCATTACTAGTCAAGAGCTGATATGCAGAAGGATGGATGAATTGGACTTTGCACAGTCAGTGGATCTCTGGCCCCAGGACCAAGTCCTGCAGCTTTGCTTGAGCATGGGATGCCTTTCAGTCCCTTCCCCTCTTTTCTGCTGATGCTTAGCCATGGAATGGGTAAGGATAAAGAAATGCAGTGGGAAGTGGAGGAGAGGGAGAAGACGACAAATGGGAGAGGATCGGCTTGCGTTTGTGAGTTGGGGAATGCAATGGGAATTTTCTCCCTTCCGCTCCATCTCTTGTGTCAACCTTGTGTACATATGCGCATGTGAAACACAGGCTGTTAGCATATGTGCTACATGGTACTATGCATGCAGATGCATTTATGAACATGTGCCCAACTGCTTATGTCATTCTCACATAATGGAGGGCGTGGAGGGAGTAGCAGATACATGCAGAACATTTCTGTGTGCTCAGAGTTGAATACATTGCATGCTCTCCAGGAGGGTGGGGACAAGAACGGTAGGTAACTGAATGTTTTCAAACTATTGCCAAAGTGAATTAAGTATCAACGCATTCTAAAGCATGGCAGAATGTTCTGAGCTGTCTTTATGGATTTCGATAGCCATCCAGTTAATGCTTTCCTACCTTATACTCCAGGAAAGCCTCTTCCATGGGAAGTACACAGTGATTTCGGTGTCTGATGGATCGGTCACACACCACGCAGATGGGGGCTTGGTCATCATGGCAGAAGAGCTTCAGGGGCTCCTGGTGCCTCTCGCACCCTCCCCACTTTGCCTCGGCTCCTTTTCCCGCCTGGAGTTTCCTGACAAGTTCCACAAGGTTTGCCAGCTGCCGGTTTGGCCTGAAGTTCTCTTGCTGGAAAATTTCTCGGCACTGAGGGCAGGAAGGGGCTCTCTCTGTCTCCTCCCAGCACTGGGTGAGGCAGGCTTGGCAGAAATTGTGCCCACAGTCTAGAATCACTGGCTCTTTGAAATATTCCAGGCAGATGGGGCAAGCCGTTTCCTCATGCAACTCCTTGATGACACTCCTGGCTGCTGTTACTTCTTCTCTCTCCCTGAAATGTAAAAAAAGGACCTGCGGGTTTTACTTTCCTATAAAAGGACCTGAAAGAGTTGTGTGAAGCCACCAGAGTTCCCTCTAAGCTGAGTTAGCGTGAGCTAGCTCACAGTTTTTTAGCCTCCAGCTCACAGATTTTTGTCTTTGCTCAGGAAGGATGGCTCCAGAGCAAACTGATTAATGCTGTAGCCAAATCACTCGCTCACAACTTTAATGCCAGCAGCTCACAAAGTAGAATTTTTGCTCACAAGACTCCGCAGCTTAGAGGGAGCGTTGGAAGCCACCCCTTTCCATTCCAGAGTACAGGCATGAGAGAAGCCACTGAGGGAAGGAAGGTTAGTGCCACAGTGACACTGAAGAGAGTGCTAAGACAGAACTTACCTTGGGGAAGATCCCTGTGGACATTGTGGGGACCGCCGCCTGGTCCCTGAGCAACCCCTCTTCTTCTTCATGGCAAATAGAGACATATTAGCTTGCAGTATCCTGAGATTTTGCAGTCACCTGTAAAGATAAGAGATCAAGAAGAAAAATAAGAGATTGGTTTCATACCCCGTCTTTCACTACCCAAAGGAGTCCCTTTCTCTCCCCACAACAGACACCTTGTGAGGTCGCTGTAAACATACCTTTGATTTACTGACATTCATTACAGAAATCTCATGCTTAATGTTCCTAGCCTAGGATCCAGGGGAAAACATGAAATGGCTGGGCATTGTGAATTTTTGTACATAAGTTGCTTCATGTGCTGGTCAAGAACATGAGAAGGCATCCTAACAGAGACTGAGGGGGGCCATGTGTTTTGTCTACAAAACTATACTCTTCCCCAGAGAAATAACTACAACTTCCTACAAAGGGGGTGAACTTGGTCTGGACACACACAGTCTAATCCACCTCACTGGCTTCTTGTTATTCCTCCTCTAAAATAGTTCACATTGCTTTCTTAATGAGAAAGACTGGTTCATGAGGGCATGGATACAGTGAAAAGGGTGAGGGAACCCAGTTGCACACAGGAGAGCCCTGGCATAAAGAACCCAGCAAAACACACACAGTACCAAGGCACATAAAAACTCATACCTGGTCTTAAAGGTGCTTGATATTTTCCCCCTACCATTGTGGCAGTCGAGCAAAGCAAACTCTCTCTCATCCCCTCCCTCCCATAAGGGAGGAGCCTCAGCCAGTGGAAGGAAAGAAAGGCTGCCCTTTGTCTCCCGCAGCCTGGCCAGGAAGTGAGCTCTGGCTGTTTCTTCCCTCCCCCTGGGAGGAAGAGGGGAAGGAGTCTCAGCCAGTTCTTTACCAGACTCTCTCAATTGCACAAGAGAGCCTTGCCTATTGATATCTCCTGTGCGATGGAGAGAAACTGGTAAAGCAAGCTCTAACATAGAATCATAGAATGTTAAGAGTTGGAAGGGACCTTGCAGGTCATCTAGTCCAACTAGGCTTACCAAATTCCGGCGGGGGAATTGTATTTCCTGGCAGGAGCCTTGCCGCGAGGACGGCTGCACGTGTTGCACCCACCGTCGCCAGGATGTGATGCTCCGCGTCGCTCTGGCAATGGGACTCTAAACGTGGAGCGTCACATCCTGGCGACAGCGGGTGCAGCCGTCCCTGCAGCGAGCCTCCTGCCAGGAAATACAATTCCCCCGCCGGAATTTGGTAAGCCTAAATCCAACCCCCTGCACTCTGCAGGAGCATAGCCTACCGGTAGCAGAACCGCAAATGCAAGTAGGAAACAGCCAGGGTCTTGTGGGCCTGATTGGGGCCCTCTGGGGGCCTGATCTGGCCCACATGTTTGACACCCCTAATCTAACCCAACCATTTTGAGCCTGCAGACACCTCTGGAATAGTGATACAGCACAGCAGGCATGGTCACAAAATGGCTGCCCTAGGAGATGGTGCCAACAATACAATGACTGCCACAGCTTACATTTTAAGTCACACAGTACAGATCTTTGTGCTGTGTTGGAAGCTAATGCTGAAGCAACATTTTTAAAAAAAATCTTACTCAGCAGCTAATGGTGGGCAAAAAACCCAGTTGGCCCCACCCACTTTCTAAAAACACTTGGCAGACAAGAGGACAGGTTCTAGTGGGCACCCCACTGGTGACCCCTCCTGTAACCCCTATGTCCCACTGAGTTCCCTCTCTAAACTTCTCCTTCCCCAGGCCCCATCCCCAGATTTCAAGGAATTTCCCAAGATAAGAGTTGGGAAATTACCGAGGGAGCGCAAAGCCATCTTGGAAAGGAACTGAAACCAGTAATTGGAAATGCACCACTGCACAATCCAGTGTTCAGATTACGCGGTTTATTTTCCGATGGCCGCAGCCGTTTCGGCTGCACCCGCGACCTGACTCGGTAAAAGAAACCTTCACACGTTCCCCGTTCAGCTCCGCCCTTCTCTCCGCAAAAAGCCAAGCAAGACCTCGGCAGAGTTCTGCCTGTTCAAAGTCAAACCACTCGCGAGCAGCATGAGGAGGTCGACCCCCTCTCCTTTGCAGCCCCAATTCGGGGGAGTTCTTTTTTAAAAAGTTTAGAAGAGGCTACCCACAGAAAGGCTGCCTTTCCTCTTCCTCCTCCGCCAGCTTCGCTTGCTCGGCTACACACAGAGTAACCCCGACCGACTTAAAGAAATGGGGGAAGGTGTTATTAAAATTGCAACACATTGAAAACTTGGGCTACTCAGCTCCCGCTTTGCACACTGCCCACCCCATCTGCTCATCATCACTGCAGTCCCATCGCACCCTCCTCTTTTACCTGCTAAACGAAATAAGGACCTTATAAAGCTCGAAATTTTTGTTCACGCCGCCCAGAATACGTTTCTTTGCGGACGCCCAAACCGGCGCGGGAAAGGAAAAGAAAGTGGGCGGCACCCGCTGCTCCTGGGTCCCCCACCCCACCCCCGGCTAGAGAGAGGATCGATTCCTCCACCCAATCAAAACGAGAAGGGGGCGGAGCATTAAGCGCTCCCCACCCTCCACGCGGGGTTTACCAGAAACGAAGCAGCAGCAGAAACGAAACCAAACGGGCTCTTTATTTTGATCAGCTGGCGCAAGCGTATGTCTGCTATGACTTGACCGCCTCTGGAGAGTCTTCAGAGTATTAGGCCTAGGCGCTTAGTATTATATCGCTGTTTTTCCCGGGGTGGGTGGGACGGATGTGGTTATTTGCGTATTTTGTGCGTTTTGATCCAGCCTTCACCTGCGTGGTTCTCGTTGTATATTCGTATACAACAACAATCCTGTGAGGGAGACTGGGCTGAGCAAAAATGACTGGCCTAAGGGTTATACATGATCTTTTATGGGAAAGGGGGAATCAAAGCCCAGGCCTCTGGACTTTTAACTAATATGCTGTGGTGGTTGGTAGCTGCATAGGTCCACAGAGAAACATTGCCATCCCCCCTCCCCCCCCAAGCATTATGCTCTACAATTTTGAAAGGTTCCATCAAAAAGAGAAAATACATGTCTAGACAGGGGCAAGTCTGCAGACAATTTTGTCTTTCAAAAGCCTCATTTTCAGCATATTGTATTGCAAACTTTTTTTGTGAATGCTTGTTCTTCCACTTTGTTTTTCAGATTTTTGAAAAAATGAACTGTTTCCCTTATGTTTTCACCCTTGAACTGTTGTTGGTAGTTTGTTGTCAGTCACATAGTGTGTTTGACATGTGGCATACCACTTCAGCCATTCTCCCTCATCTAACATTTGACTTCACCTCTGTTTCACGCCAGTAATAAGTAGCATTTTATTCAGAAATCTGGTGTATGCCTTACTACCACAAAATCACAAAAACGCTGGAAAACACTTCAGCCTTCCAGGACATTCAATGGAAAACCTCAAAGTAGCTGTTT